GGATGTATAACGAGGCAAAACTGAAGGTTTTACCTCTAATATTCACCTGACATGCGACAATTTCAATACCTGACACTGGAGGAAGGTCGATTCTGTAGAATGAGTGTTGTTTGTTGACCCCTAGGAGCACCCCACCGTACGAATCTGCACGATCGAGACGGATAATGTTGTAGTCGTGAAGAGAAAGGTTAACATCTGGAGAGAGCCATGTTTCGCAGACAGCAAACGCATCACAGTGTATGTTATGCAGTAAAAATTTTAATATGTCTAGTTTTGGTAAAATGCTTCTACAATTCCATTGAAGGAGAGATACCGTATCATTTTTTGAAAAATTATCCATCGAAGGATACGAATGAAGCAAGGAGGGGCCACTTGGAAGCAAATTGCTTCAGAAAAGGTTTCACGATTGGAAGCATCATGTTAATGATGCTCCGAAGAGGGTCAGTGATGTTGAACAGATCGAGAATGCTGTCCACAATTCCAGAAAGCGTGAACATGGCGTTCTGCTGTTCTGGTTGCGAAACTGGGACATCTGGGGTTTTAGATGTTCCCGGAAGCCCCGGAAATTCTTTGTCATAATCGACAGGCTTAAAACCCGGTGGATTGGGTTTCGGTTTATTTCCGTGACCTCTTGATTTATCCAAGGGGACTTGGGAGTCAGTTTTTTTGTTTTCTGCGAGTCATTCTTGGATCGCTTCCTTGAAGGACCTTTGAAAACAAAAGGACTTCCGTCATTGCCCTCTGAGTCAGTGTCGTCCTCGTCAACTGGGAGAAGATTGAACGGATTATTGTTTTCTTTTTCCGGAGTGATTTTGGGAGGAGGATTGAAAGCCTTCAAGATCTCCGCAAAGGAACGCTGAAAGCGCGCCTTCAGAGACCGTTCAAGTTTTTTTCCTTGCTGTTTATACTTCGGGCAATCTGCGAGAGGATGCGGAGGTGCCAAACAATAAACACATTTAGAAGGAGCACCACAAGCACCCTCCGCATGCTTCTCGCCGCACTGATCGCATCGTGGCTTGTTGCCGCAGAAGGCGGCGGTGTGGCCTAATTGTTTGCACTTGGTGCAGTTCATCACCCTTGGTACAAACAACCACACAGGAAGTCGAATCCTCCCAATTCGGACATAATCCGGCAGAGTCGATCCGGAGAAAGTCACTCGAAACGAGTCAGTCAGCGAGTAGATTTTTTTTGTCCCGTCGAGGGATGCTGACTGTATTTGGGTGCAGTCAAGAATCTTGACTTCTGGAAGAACGGGGTTCTTGAAGACACCAACCCCCCTCTTCAAGAAGTCCTCGCAGGTCAAACTCGCCTCGGTGACCACTCCTTCGATTTCCACGTCACGACTGGGAATGTAAACGCGGTACTCTAACGTAAAAAGCTCGCAGGCAACGATCTCATTCGCCTGCTTGCGGTTACCAACAGTGACGCGCAGTTTGTCTGGCCTCACCTTCAAAATGTCGGTCACTGACGAGAAATGTTTGAATAGATCTTTTTCGATCTGGTTTTTGTTTGGGTCGGAAAAAACAACCCATGGGCCTGTCGAGGCGTCTGGGTATGACTTATGGCGGGGGGCAGTTTTTGTTTTCTTGGCGGGGTTAGGCGGAGTAGGGGGAGACGGTTTTGGCGGTATGGGGGGAGAGGGATTATGTGGGGTAGGGGGAAACGGGTTTGGCGGTGCGGGGGGTGACGGTGCTGGTGGTGTTGGTGGCGATGGATTAGGCGGGGTAGGAGGAGATGGGGTAGGCGGTACGGGCTCCGGTGCTCGTTTTCGCCTGGGCCTGATGAATACCCCTCACCATCCCTCTGAAACTGGGAAGTTTGGTAAAGAGAGATGATCAAACCGGTTTGTACCTTCCTAAAGTTGTCCTTGTTCGCTTTCTACTCTCTATATGCAACTTTCATCTCCTCGTCTATCGTATAAAATTACCGCTTTAAGTCTGTTATTTGAAATTAGCATCTTCAATTTTATTCCATTTATTGTTCAAACCCATTCGAAAAATAGAGTTAAAGTCGTGCTTAGTATGACGGACATTAGATCTTAACCCTATGAAATCAAAATATAAAGTAAGCTTTTGATTACTTTGGAATGTTGGTGTCAAAAAGGTTTGAAAAAGTGCTACCAAAGTATGCGCCGATTGAAGTCGTGCTAAATAAATGTCTTGATCCTTTTACCTAAACTTAAAAGAAATGTGATTAAAGCGGAAGCTTATTTTGAACATTTTTGCTTTGAAAATCCTCACTGTGTGATATATCGACATATTTTCAAAAGGTGTCGACCGCTTAGAAGACTTATTCTGGCAGTCCTGCACCGTTCCTTTGAAAAAGTGTGTGCTAGGGATTAATGGCATCCCCACACTCAGGATAAGGTGATTTAATTGCGGACGGATTGAAATTAATGACCCCATGGGTACTCGAGAATGTTTTAATAAAAATAAACATATTTTTCGTCACCACAATAGCGAACGTGTTGATGACGAGATTGGGGTGGAATAATACCTTTATACCCATACCCATCAGTAAAAATGGTCGCTTCCGTAGCCAATTCTGAAATCTTTACGCGTTTCATACTCCATAACATTATTTACAATGTGGATCGGTACCAGAAAATGGATCCTATCCAATAAATCAGCATGATTATTTCCGCTCCGAATAAAAGCAAAGCGGAACCGATCCATGAACGTAAAGTTGAAGCATATATGCTATAGCATGAACAGCAAATCGTCTTAACCTAGGACAATGATGAGCAGCTTGGAGGCTGCTCAAACGCAGTAAAACCTTTCGAACAGAATGGAACCATATATCGCGTAACATTTGAAAAGGACCTATCCTCGTTGATCGATTGTCTTCATAAACTGTTCTGTGGTTTATCACGGCAACATAAACGAATTTCTCGCTAAGCTCGCAGCACAGTTCGACAGAAGATGATATTAACTTGCGCCTGAAACAACACACTGAATTGGAAATTCATTTGCAGTCGGGTTATTCGCGAAAGAGAAAATCGATAAAGAGAATTGATCAACAATGATAGGCCCTTTTCTCGTATTGAGCGAGGTATCATTTTTGGAGCGAGTATCGTTTGGCTTTTATTGTGTATATCTTGCCACTGTTGTGGATAGAAATACAGATTGGCAGAATGATTTTCATTTTTTTTTTCAATCGAATCAAACACTTGCAATATAGCGAACAAGCGAACTCTCACGTAGTTTCCGTTTTCTATTCTTGAGCAGACACACATAGCCTTTTTATGCTCCAATGTGATGATGGGAACTTGTTACGTTTATTAAAATATACAAACTATGGGAGACGAGAACGCAGTAGGAAGCATCAAATTGATCGACATGGTAAAACTGAAATTGAAAGATTTTACTATATACTTGGGCCTCCGTAAGTTCAGTCGTTAAAGGCACATCATCATAGCAAGACCATGCTGGAAGCGGCAGGTTCAGTTACCGATCTGCTCAAGGAATGATTCGGGTTGAAAAATGTGTCATCTTCCCTAAGAGCAACTGTACCAGTCGTTACCACTTGCGGCACTATTTTACTTACCCACAGCGTTTCCATTTTGGCTTAATCACTCCTCTCCACACCGGTCGTTGCTATCAGAGTCATAATTTAAGTTACCGTTTTCCACACCGGCAAAACAAACTTTTGGCGTTTATTCAAAATAGCAACCGTCTGATGCGTTGCTACCGAGTTGCTGAATTTATGAACTCACTACTTCCCAAGGTGCGGATTGCTATTTCCCCCACCTAAAGAGCAACCCCCGGTACGCAAGTAGCGTTATGGTAGAGGTTGGTAAATGTGCCTTATTTACTCATTGGTACGGTTGCTCTAAGCATCATTGTACTTGCAACACAATATACGAATTCAAAATGGTACAGATAGCGGCGCCGGTGGTGTAATGGTATGCGTGATTAGCTCTCACCCAGCAGGTCTGGTTTCAGTCCCAGTCGGCGCCACCGGGATGTTCTGAGGCATGACATCTCTGATCACGGGAAGTAAAGCCGTTGGTCCCCCCCTGGCGTTGGTAGCATTGGTGCTCAGCACGGAAAACAAGATCGACGGAAAACAAATCAAGGAAAAAGCCATCTGTAATAATAACATTCGATTTGGTGCTAAACTACGCTATATTAAGAACGACTACGTGCGGGTTGTGCTTAATAGGCCGGGAATGGAGTAGTTAACCCTATTTAGTTTTTAAGTGCAAATTATTATGATTCTGCTTTGTGATATGAAAAAAAAAATGATTCGTATATTTTTCGCCATTAACCATTTGTGAATAGATTTTCATTAGTAGTTTATGAGAAATCAGATAATTGGAAAACAAATTTATGCTAAGTGGACTTTGTCAAAAAGCCTCTGCCCTCGAAGACTTTTTGCTATCCTCTGCCTTCCCCTAGAAAGTCTACGTGATTTATGAACTTCCCCTAGAATTATAAGTGTTTAGCTAAGCTTTTGTATGTAAGGTATTATTAATTTGATCACGGTGAAATCATTAATATATTCGAGGTTTTTTTCTTGATAGGACGGATATACTACCCATAATCGCATATCAGTCCCATCTTTGCTTGATTTCCCATCCATATGGGACTGATATGCGCCTATAATAGGCGCTTAGTACGAAGTAGTGTTATAACGTGTATCAACCATGTTGAAATGCATGAGACAAGGGGGATGTGATGTTGGGGACGTTATATTTAAGGCCTTAGCGACATCATCTGCAAAGTTCAAGCATGCATGGGAATACCTGTATGGAAATATAATTTTAAAAAATGTGTGCGAACAATAATATGACACTCACCATTACAACGACTGCAACGAGGATTAATCACCCATATCCGCGTTTGCGTTCAAACCATATTTTTCCTACCAACATTTTTTTGTTTTATTATATGAAAAGTACGGTTCGAACGTAAACGAGAACGGTGAATATGCCTAAAAGGGGTATTTCTCAACCATCAATCCATAATGAAAAACATTTAATGTCACAATTTTTCTGTTTTATTTAATCAATGTATTCTGTAGAGAAATTCATTTCCTTACTATGATTTGAAAGATTAGGATTCTGCAATAAAACATTCATGGTGTTTATCCTAAAAAAAAAAACCCTTGGAATCTGCTTTCTTGATAAACATTGCACGAAAATAAGCATTTTGAAATTTGTCTTTTGTGACTTTAGTACTTACATTGTTTGAATGACCTGTAAAATCATAAATTTGTAATGAACGTTTACTCCTGACATAAATGATTGACGATTGCTAGATTGCTGAAACAATGTTTCAAGACCGTTTCTAAATCAAACATTTTACTAGATAAAGAGCAAGGATGATTTGTACCTTAACCTACAATGTGACAATATTTTTCTTCTTCTAAATATCAGTAGCTAGCCAAAAGATAGTGACCTTACTTTACGGCAACCTTAAACGCTAGCTATCCCTCAAACTACCTCGTTAGACATGTATTTAGTGTTTATTACTCTGACGTTAAACATAATTCAGCATTATTTACACACTACAGTGCCACGTTCAAAGCAGTTCACGCAAACGAAACGCGAAATGAAAAATATAGTTTCTCCATCCAAATGATGGTGAATGATTGAAGATAAATGGAACAGGAAATCAAAATGTTTTCACTGGCAGACGATCGCAATGGCACCGTGGTAAAAAATCGTTTCTTTCTCCCGGCTGTCCTGTGGAATGAAGTTTAAAAGATTAGTAGAAATCAAATGCCAGTTAGATAAAAAAAAAACTAAGAAAACCTGCAAGTAACGATACTACTAGTGCTAGCTAATGTGCTTTTTCTAAATCTTATTAAGAAACAGGATCCCGCTCTGCTTAAACCGTTCCCTATGAGTTGAACATTAATTGACGAATTTTATCCCAAAGTGTTCACAGCACTTTCACAGATTTCAAGTAAACTTTGTGAGTGTGAAAATTGTCTAGTTTAGCAACTTGGTATATTTATTTCTCCATAAAAAAAAAATTATTTGAGTACTAACCATTTCAAATGCCTCGATTTATTATTTAAAATGGTTTTTTTTAATAAAACAATATAACTAAAAAAAACGACACAAATAAATGTGTTCTGAATTCTGAATAGTAGAAAATTGTTTGATTAAAAAATAAAAAAATAAAAATTGTGATTCTGCACTGAACAAAACCATATATTAAAATATAAGTGAATTTCTAGCAAATCCACTATCTCTAAACGCACAACAGTCTCATGAGACTGTTTGGCTTTTATGGGCAGTCACATCGCAAACAAATTCGTTCAAATTTACAGTTCAATACAAATTGAACGAGTAGTGGGGAGCAGCGAAGACAACATATCAAGAAGACTGGCAACTTTGCCTGAATCCAAGCGACAGACACAGTAGCGCTGCGCTCGAGCGAAGGTTGCTTCCATAGAAAAATGAGCAAATACACAAACCTTTCTTATAAGGATGGGACCTTTGCTATCCAATTTAATAGGAGCATTTACCTTTGAGCGGCAGATGACGGAATTGTGCCTATCTCATACCGGTTGTAAGCGAAAATGGAAGAGTTGCCAGTCTTCTTGATATGTTGTCTTCGCTAATAGGCGCTTTTAAAGGATTTTTTTCGTAACATTTGTTCTAAGAAAAAATGCTTGTAACTTAAAAAGAAATAGTCTTCACAAACACACAGATTAAATGATTTTCATGAAATACGATGTTAACTGTCAGTGACAATGCAATTCATTAATTAACTAAATTTGTAACAAAATTCAATGAAACTTATCCGCATAGATTTAACTTTTTTTTTCAATCGTTCTAGATACTGGACAAAGTTGTTTATCTAAAAAACAACTCTTCTAAAGGACGTCATGCATATTGGATTGATAAATTTTTACCTAACCCTTATGTGCGTAAGGATTTTTACGCTTTTTTTACACCGTGTTATTCAAATGGGAGCTGGGTAGCCGGGGAACCCCGTCATGCACATAACGGTCAATTCCTTGAACAGCTTTTAGCATTTCCAAACCTTTCAAATTTTTGGCGATTTTAAAGCCATTTACACACTAAGTTTTTTCTACCGAGCTCAGCTGTGCAAATCTCGACAAAAAAAGTTTTACTGAGATCTCAGCAAATATTTCATTTGTTTGCTGAGATTCAACTAAGCATTATCCGAGACTCTTGATTGCTGATTCACTTTTGCTGAGATCTCAGTGAAACTTAGTTTTGCCGAGATTTGCACAGCCGAGCTCGGTAGAAAAAAAAACTAAGTGTGTAGGCCATTTTGACGTTTTAAGTTTTTTTTTAAAGACTTTATTAGGGAGATTTTTAGCCAATTGGCTAGTTCATCTCCAAGTTTTGAAGGTTGAATTTAATCCAAGTTTAAAGGTAATTTTGAAGCTAATTGCAGAGGCTTACAGGTAGCTAGGGCGTCTTAAGCTATTCTAGCATTTTAAACATTTCATATAATGCTGTGCTATTTTTGGCGTTTCAAAAGCCGTTTTGCGATAATGAAAGCCATTTTGGCGTTTCTAGAGCCGTTCCGAGGTTTTCTAGGTTATTTTGACGTTTGCTAGTATATTAGTTCAATAACGTTTGAATTATTGATTTTTGTTTGTATTTTTCAGTTTAAATGCAAGTTTTTAAATATTAGGACTATTCTAAGCCATTGTTTTTGTGTTTCTAGGATTAATTTTTAGTTTTAAGGACATTTTACCGTCCGCAATTTTTTTTCGGGAATTTTGAAACTGTTTGCCTTTTTTGTATTTATTCATATTGGAATGTTAATAGCTTTTTTTGTTTCAAACAATTTATTGCTATTTGATCATTTAAATTTCAGGTTATGCAAGAGTTTTTGCCTTTTTCACAATTTACAAAGGCATTTTCGAGTTATTGGACCCAAAATAGTGATTTTTTGCTAATACAGCGTTTCTTTGGCAATTTTCGGCGCTCCTAGGACTGCTTTTGTATTTTCTATGTTATTTTGGGGGATTTCAGGGCGTTCTGATGATTTCGGAAATTTTTGCGTTTTAAGGCTAGTTCAGTGTAAGTTTGGCGGTATGCGTTTTTACCTTCCTAATGCATTAGGAAAAACTTACACAGTGTATCCCCACGCCAAGGATGGCCCCAGTGCACTAGGAAGATTAAGATAGATCTGATAATTTGAGGAATTTCAGTGCTTTTGATGCAGACCATTTTGTGTTGGAATTATTTTATGTTTTATGTTTAATGTGCTATGTTTTGGCGATTTTCTACCCAAATTTTCTAGTCATTTTGTATTGTCTTGAACACATTTTAGGTCATTTGTGAGCTGTCCAGGGATGAGATTTTACATTTATCGCAAGACCATTATAATGAGAGGCATGGATGCTACTCACTATACCAGGGTCTGCATATACGGTCGTTAATATTTTACTCCAATATCGGTTGACAAATACCATTAATGTGTTAAAAAACAATACATTCCGACAAAACTCACAAAACCCGGTCAAACGTCAATTGACGGCATGCACATAATGTTTTGTAAATTTTCCAATCAATAATGCAAAAATAACATTACGAACAATGAATAACGTCAAAATATAAAGCAATGAATTTTCTAACCGAAAAACTCATATATGATTATTGCACAGTTGAATTTCGCAAGGAAAACCTTCTTCTTCTTCGCATTTCAAGCTTATTGCGTGCTCTCAACTTGGTGTTCTAAGATGCACTTCCACAGTTATTAATTGAGAGCTTTCAATGCCTGTACCATTTTTGCATTAGTATAATTGTGTGGCAAGTTTTGCCCTCCTAAATGAAGCTAAATTAATTAATTAATTGGGTGGCAAGTACAATCATACTTTTATGCCCAGGAAAGTTGAGAAATTTTCCAACCCTAAAAATTCCTAGACCGAACCGGGAATCGAACCCAGCCACCTCCAGCATGGTCTTGCTTTGTAGCTGCGCCTTTACCGACTGAGCTAATGGCAAAAATCAATACGAAACTATCGATTTAAAATTGGCTCACTACTTGACTAGCCTATTGGTTCCAAGAAAATCGATTAACGTACCTCATTCTAGTCGAAATTCTAGTACTACACTATGTTTGTTTTGATTCGCTATGAAAGTTTGACAGATAAAATGAAGGGTTCGTGGATTTTCCAATGTTTCGAGGGGTACATCGATTAGCTTGGGACCGAAGATAGTACTAGAGCTGAGCCAAAAGTTGAGCACGTTTCTAGGGGTGTTAACATTTGTGCGGATTTGCAAGCGCTAGTGTACTAGCAAACTAGCACAAATTTCAGTTGCTCCTCATGCTGGTAGACGCTGATGGCCTGTTTACAAGATGCTGGCTACTTTTTTGCTCAACACCCCATAAGGGAGGCCCCAAAGGCAAATAATCTCACACGCATGAGAAATGAGCTTATCAGTTTTACGCAACACTGCCTTAGACAGCAACCCACGGTATTTTTTTATGGATTTAGATCCGTATCGCACCCGTAAATTTAGACAAACTAACTAAAACAACTACCGTAGAACCCTAAGCCGGCACAGCTAGTGTAGTGGTAAGCGTGACTGCTTTCTAACACCCCAATAGGTCTGGTTTCAATGCAACCCGAGGTCGGTGGGATTTTCTGAGGCATAAAAATCTCTGGTCACGTTTTCCTTCGGAAGGGAAGTAAAGCCGTTGGTCCCGGCCTATGTGTGTTGAATGGGTGCGGTATTCTACGCAGGTGTGGAAGCTGCCTTCCTGCACATTCGATTGCCGTCAATGGATGTTTTATGCTATAATTTTCATAAAAAGATTTCGAGTAAAATGTCTTTTTATTGCTAAAATTAAATTTTTTATCAGTGCAGTAATGACCAGTGATGGCATAATCACTAGAAAAATTACATATTTTTGCTCTCATACACATTTAGATTTTGTTTTCGTGTTCGGTAAATTTTACCGAAATCAGACCTTCATTTTGAAAGCTATTGAATTCGAAAATAATTTCAAAACATGTTCAACCTTGTTTAAATGATCAAATCTTGTCATCTTAGTGGAGATTTAGTTTCAAAGTAGCTGAAAAGCACTTGAATTTAATTGCATAAATTTTACCGAACAGTTCAGCTGTTCAGATTTTGGTAAAAATTACCGAAGTCGGCGATAATTTCTAAGTGTGTACGCTTTCAATATCACGCGGAATTAAATATTCTGCTTGCTATTGATTTTAAAAGCTCCTCTTATATTGCGAAACTAATCACAACATGTAAATTGTAGCTGAGAGATGACTACCCTAATAAAAAATAACCATAAACGAACGATAACCCAAATCATTGAACTATTCCACAAATTGTTTGGATGATACCCAGAACACGTCGTTAAGCAAATTAACAATACAATTTTTATTAGGGTAGACACAAAAATGATTCCGTTGCACATCGTTTTCATAGAAAGAGAAGGCACGCTATTCATCTCTATTTACTCTTCACCGATGGCAGACAAAACGTTATTGCTGTCAGCAGTGATGGAGGATTCGGGTTGCGTTCGGGTGTATAACAACAATCTTGAGACTCAAACTCACCACAGTTTGGTAAGAATTGTAGGGGGTGAGTTTTGGTAGCGTGATATTCGGAGCTATGATATCACAGCGTATGATATCATTCGCAGTTGTTGCTTGTTGATTTTTGTCAACGCTTGCCGCTTTTGCCGATCACGGTTTTTGGAGAGATTATATTTTTTTTATATATTTTCCAAACATTGACATTTAGTAGTTCTAACATCCCCCCATGAATGGCCCTTATCATCATTTGTATTTGGGTCAATCATTCCCAAAATAACAATCCAGCACTATCTAGCTTCGCTTCTTGCAGCAAAATCAAATATAAGCAAAGAACAACAAAGTTTTTCACTTACCTCACACTCCCAGCAGTCCTGGCACACACGATAGCCATACACACCCCTACTCCGATCGTCGCCTTAATCCGAGAAGCTATCGCTCCAGTAGGTAGAAGTAAGCGGTGCCACGCACTTGAAAAGATCTCTCCCGGTACCAACCGGCGATGGTTCCACTTTCTTCTTTTTCTCAGCACTTCCGGCTTGCGCTTTTTGCCGTTTGAGACGTTCCTCGTGCTCTTTTCGTTTCTGAATTTCCTTGAGTCGCTGTTGCTTTTTCTTCTCTTCCTTAGCTTTCAGCTTTTCCTCCCGCTTTTTTTCATCCTGATCGTGCCGTTCCAGATGGTTGGTAAGATACACCTTCGATTTGAAGGTCTTTTCACATTTCGTACAAGGAAAGAGATCGCCTTTATGAGTTTGGAGATGCTCTTTCAGCTCAACACCGGTCTTGAATGTTTCGTCGCACTTGTTGCAGTCGTGTGTCTTGCGGGGTTTTATTGGTTTATCATCGTCACTATCCGAGGAGCTGGGATCTGGCGCCTCAATGTAGACCACATTTGCTAATCCAGGAGCTTTGCTGTTCTTTGGTGGCCGGCCAGGTCGTCGGCGAGGAGTGTCCTCAGCTGCAGCCGCAGCGGCAGCAGCTGCCGCTTTTGCCGCCGCAGCTTTGGGACTGAAGCCGGGTTGGCGTCCACGTCTTCGCTTGACCGTAGTGTCAATAGTGGGTGCGCTAGATTCGCTTTTGGGTCTACGTCCCCGTCCCCGACGCTTAGATGTTCTTGTTTTCTTTTTCTTGCTCGGTGGAGCAAAACTGTCGTCCGATGTTACAGGTTCCGACTCAACTTCCGATTGAGAAACTTTATATTCATCATCATCCTGCGGTTCATCATCATTATCTTCTTCATCCGACATAGGACAGTTAACAATGACAAAATCTGTCGTTCTTCTGGACTTATTGTAACTTCGCTTCAAGGTTTGTCGCAATTCTTTATCGGTACTTTCACAGGTTGTTTTGAACTCGTACGCTATCCTGACTTTATCGACGCAACTCTTGCAGATCTTGTGCGGCAGGTGGTCACGTTCTGCTATGCGTACATTGGTGCAAATCTTCATAATCAAATCACAAATTCGAACGGCGGATTCAAATTCGAATATATCACCCAAACCCTCCTTCGACGTACAAACTCGACAAATATCCAGATCAGCCGGAGTTCCGTCCTTACGGCGAACTTTGGGCTTTTCTTCTTCTTCTTCTCCTGCCTCCTTAGTCTCAACCTTCACTCCCTCCTTGTTATCATCTTCGACTGCTCCTTCTTCCACAATAACTTCTTTTTTGTCCTCTTCAACGTTATTGTCACCGTCTTTTATTTCAGCTGGCACTACCTTTTCCTCCTCTTCTACCTCCTCTAAATGTTCCTCTTGCATCCCATTCGAGTCCAGAGCTTGTTCTTCCGCGGCTGGTTCCTCCGTCTGATGGTTTTCCTGAAGTGCTTCAGCTTCACCATCGTGATTCTGAACGGCTTCCGGTTGATCCATAATGTCGGTGCACACTTGTTCCGGGATTTGATATGTCACTTGTTCACCCGAAGCTTGTGCTGTAACGTTATTAGCAATGATAGTTTCCCGCCCTTGGTACTGATCTTCTTTCAGACCGTCAAAATATTGCTGCTGTTGCGGCTGCTCTTGCAGTTGATACTGATACTGAACTGTTTGACCTTGCAATGGTGTAATTTCACTTAATTGACCACTGTACACAATATTTCCGTAGGAATTGTTCATCGTTCCATAATTGTCCATCACCTGAAATTATATTTGAGCACGTATTTACAAGTCAGAATTTTCAGAGACCCCCATAAATATGCGAACGTTTGCATCGAAAAAAAAAGTTACGCGTATCTTCTTCTTTTTACACCAATCAAGAGAGAAAACAGACGCGTTTGCGGTGTAGTCGATTTTCACCACCTTAATTTATTTCCCATCCAAAACTAACAACTTTCGACTGTAAAAAGTCACTTTTCCTAACTTTCCGCACCAATTACAAGCACTGAGACAGGGTTTTACACACCGAAAATTAATTTTATTCGGGACGGCGTGGAAGCAAAACACAGAATATTCGGAAAATTTCGACCGCCATATTGGAATTGGGATGCGAAGCGAACGACATAAAAGAAAGTGCGCAGCGATGCCAGCATTGATGAAAAGAAAACAAAGAAACAATTAACAGGTAGGGGATAGGACACGGTACGATTAAGCATATTTTTCTACCCAACTGTACATAAACATAAATCAGAACGACTGAATATAGCTCATTGTAAACAAGAAATAATGAATATCTCTTACTGCCGCCATTTATGTCCAATTTGAATTTCAAGTGGCGACGAGGAAGATCGAATTTCCTACTAGAGCGATTGCATTTGTGGTGGTATTGCTGCTCATGCTCAAAGCTACCGTGACGTCACTTGGTATGTGTGTAGAACTTGATGGTGCAAAGGAAATATTTCAAAGCGTCAGATGCATTGAAACGTTTCCTTAGTTGAAGCGGGTAAACGTTGTTGTTGTTGTTGAACGTTTCGTCATAATGAATAAATTAATTATTAAAATGAGGAGCACAATAGGAATGATTTGTTTGTTTCTGCTTTCAACGTTACAGTAAAGTGTCATAACATCGCGCGTTGCCTAATTTCTATGCCTGTACTTGCTGACACTTGCATATTAGTCCCATATGGTTTTTCATCATTATCGAGTATTCCGCATGAAAGGTGTTTGTTTATGTCGTACTTTAAAAAATCACACTGAAAATGACAATTTTGTATGGAAAAAATGCGAAAAAGAAGTCCCAGAATAAAAGTACCCGCATTGCTGTCTCATTAGGGTGCTGCATTTTGAAAAAAAAAGTATTCGAAATCATTAAGGACACCCACCAGTTTGATTCATATCTGATTAGACGCTCCTAGCGGTCCTCATATAGCCTTCGATCTGGTTGACCACCAGTTCTCGTGTCAGGTAACTTAGACTGGTATATGTCTGACCGAAGCCTACCGTATTTTTTATTGTTCAACAAATGATTCAAATTTTTATAATTAACAATATTTGCTTCAGAACGATATTATTAGCTTGGTACACTACGCATTCGACGTCTGTCTGATGCATCGCAGTCCAAATTCCGTTCACGTTCAATTGTGCACCGCTACCCAACTGCTAATCTATATAAAAACCTTAACAGTGTAAATAGTTGAGCACACGCTGGATCTCAGCAATGATGTAACTCTAGTGCAATTTTGTTCATCATTATGAGTTTTAGCCCAGAATGAATGAAACATAACCAAAATGCAGCTTGAAACATGTTCATCGAACAAAGATACAGTTTAAAAAAAACATGTTTGGAAAGGTGGGGCAAGCCTCGTTTAGAGGTTATGCAAATGGTTTGAAGTTTGTATGGATATTATGACGAATTCGAGGGCGAATTAGGGTAGAGAACTACTTCGGCCTAATCGCAAGGCTGGTAGTGGGTATGTGATATAATAGTAACCAAATAGTAATTTTTTTTCCTCGATTTGTTTTCCGTCGATCTTGTTTTCCGTGCTGAGCACCAATGCTACCGACGCCAGGGAGGCAGTTCTCACACCTGGACCCTACCTATCGACCCATCAACTCATGAACCGGGGACCAACGGCTTTAATTCCCTTCCGAAGGAAAGCGTGATCAGAGATGTTATGCCTCAGAACATCCCGGCGGCGCCGACTTGGATTGAACCCAGGCCTGCTGGGGTGAGAGGCAATCACGCTTACCACTACACCACCGGCGCCGTTCAAATAGTGATTTGAAAATAATAATAAAAAGTAACCATAGTGACATTTGTTGATAGTAAAGATATGATTCAAATCTTTGATTGCGATTGATACTTCGAGAAAATTTATAAACTTGAGCATTTTCATGCTTCTATAAAATAAAACAATTGGTTTTATTAATACAGCACACAGTGGTTGAAATCGTCATTTTTGAGCGCTTAATTAATAACATCTTTATTTTGATATTTAGGGCTATGGTGTCTTCTGAGAAGTTTATCAGTAAATGTATGCGCTTCTTTTGGGCTTTTCAGCACAAGGATTAATCCCCCTTACAGTGAGATAGAAAATTTATTTTTTCAATTTTACAATATACAGGGTTAGTGTCTTCACAAAAGTTTGAGGAATCATGCTTTTGAATAACTTTGTCCAAGACACCTAAACCGTAACTTGCTCACTTTTGGAGATATGTTACGTTATTTGTCGACAACCCCTTAAAAGTGGTTTTTTAATCATAACTTTTTTATTATAACTTTTTAGACTTTGAGGTGTTCTAGAAAGTTATAGACAACGCAAAATACAAAACTTTGTCCAATATAGCAACCCTGTAGTTTTTCAAATTAAAAAGTTATTAAGTTTTTTCTTGTTTTTTTGGCCATTTTTTATGTATTTGTAACTCAATGTGGTGCAAAATGGTGCAAGTTATCAACCATGCATGTGAAACTTCAAGTAATTTACTTTAAGATGGTGGCAAAACTCTAAGACTGTAAGCGACTGTAAGGTATGTTTATTTTTTTTTTTTATATTAATTTATTTGTACAGGCTCAATCGAATAAACTTTACAGAGCCGAGTTATCATTTTCATTATACATGATTAATGTCTTAAATCTAGAGTTAAAGGAATTGAACCGATTACTCGCGGTCGTCTCGAGGTTAGTGGAGATTTACAATTTTTTGGGTGGGGAAAGGGAGAAGGAGTTTTGAAATATGATTTATTATACAAATATTTAATTAATCCTAAAACATGAACTTATTTCTATTCATCTTGAAGACAAACATTAAAAAAAAAAAACCTACACGCACAATACACAAACTAAACACAAGGTTAATCAAACTTACAATCTAAGGTTAGTATTCTTAAAGTAAACATATATGAGTTTCATAAACTCCAGATCACGTCTAGCCAAAATATCCCGAACTGGAACATTAGGTTGTCTACCTCGAGCCCGAAGGGAATCGCACAGCTCAGATCTGACTCCACGATGCTCAGCACAAGACCAAAGGATGTGATCGGCGTCTTGGTAACCTTGTCCACATTCACAGAGATTGCTGTCTCCCAGCCCAACACGAAACAAGTGAGCGTTTAACGAATAGTGATTGGACATGAGGCGAGACATCAGACGAATGAAGTCTCGACCCACATCCAACCCCTTGAACCAAGGACTCTTCGACACCTTAGGGATGATCGAGAATAGCCATCGTCCCAAACTTCCTTCACTCCATTTATTTTGCCAGCTGGTGAGCGACTGTTGACGATAAATGAAGAAAAATTCATTGTAGGCGATTTGTCGATCGTAAATATCGCCTTGCATAGCGCCCACCTTAGCAAGTGAGTCAGCCATCTCATTGCCCGGAATCGAGCAATGAGATGGGACCCATGCAAAGGTGATGACAAAAGATCTTAAAGATAAAGCACTTAAAAGCTCTCGTATTTTCATGAGAAAATACGAGGAGTGCTTTACCGGCCTCATAGAGCGAATAGCCTCGACAGAACTGAGACTATCCGTAAAAATAAAATAATGATCTGGTGCAAGTGAGGCGATCGTTTCTAGCGTATAATGTATTGCCGCCAGCTCAGCAACATATACGGAACAAGGAGCTTGAAGCATTCGAGAGGCGCTATGAAATTCGTTAAAAATACCAAAACCAGCGGACGACTCTATTAGTGATCCATCTGTGAAGAACGATCTTGCGGAATCAACTTGGCCAAACTTTGCAGCATAAATTGACGGAACAATCATGGAACGATGATGTTCTGGGATTCCACGAATCTCCCGCGTCATAGATAAATCAAAACTAACTGAATTGCCGAAGTCGGAGAAGCATACACGATGGGGATTATGCTGTGAAGGGCTGACATCCTGAGTTATGTACACGTAGTACAATGACATAAAACGAGTTTGAGGGTTTAGCTCAAGAAGCTTCTCAAAGTTTTCGATTACCAGTGGGTTCATAACTTCACAACGGGTGAGGAGCCTGAGGGACAATTCCGAAAACCGATCCGATAGTGGCAACATGCCCGCCAACACTTCGAGACTCATCGTATGAGTCGAGTGCATGCATCCTAACGCGATACGAAGACAACGATACTGGATACGTTCCAGTTTGATGATGTGAGTTTTAGCCGCCGACTGGAAGCAAAAACTACCGTACTCCAAAACCGATAAAATCGTTGTCCGGTACAACGTTAGAAGATCTTGCGGATGAGCTCCCCACCACGTTCCGGTAATTGTTCGGAGAAAATTGATCCTTTGTTGGCATTTTCGTCTCAGATACTCAATGTGGGATCTCCAGGTGCATTTGGAATCGAACCAGACCCCAAGATATTTGAAAGACATGGAATGAGTGATCGGCTTACCAAAAGTTGAAGCTTCGGTTGTGCTGGGCTATGCTTCCTAGAAAAAACGACCAACTCAGTTTTCTCCGTGGAGAATTCGATACCTAGCTGGATAGCCCAAGTAGACAAATTGTCTAAGGTATCCTGTAAGGGTCCTTGCAGGTTGACCCCTTTGGGCCCTGTCATAGACACTACGCCATCATCTGCAAGTTGTCTCAACGTGCAGTTGTCACTTAAACAATTGTCAATTTCTCTGACATAGAAATTGTACAAAAGGGGGCTTAAACATGAACCCTGGGGGAGACCCATGTAACTAAATCGAGAAGCTGTAGAGTTTCCATGAGAAAAGCTCATATGTTTCTCTGACAGCAAATTGTACAAAAAGTTATTAATTAATGGGGAAAGGCCACAAGCGTGGAGTTTGTCTGAAAGGACTTCAACCGATACTGAATCAAAAGCCCCCTTAATATCCAAGAACACAGAAGCCATTTGCTCTTTTTTAGCAAAAGCCAACTGGATTTCTGTGGAAAGCAACGCGAGACAGTCGTTCGTTCCCTTACCCCTACGGAAACCAAATTGAGTATCTGAGAGTAGGTGGTTCGTCTCAACCCATTTGTCGAGGCGAAAAAGGATCATTTTCTCCAACAATTTTCGAATGCACGATAACATCGCGATGGGACGATACGAGTTATGATCTGACGCGGGTTTTCCAGGCTTTTTAATGGCTATAACTCTCACTCGCCTCCAATCATCTGGAACAATATTGAACTCCAGGAACTGACAAAACAAGTTCAACATGCGCCTCTTAGCGACGTCTGGGAGGTTCTTCAACAAGTCGAACTTGATCCTATCAGCCCCCGGAGCCGAATTGCGACACGAAAGGAGCGCGAGTGAGAGCTCCAGCATTGAAAAAGGCTGGCTGATCTCGTCTACCGAATTCGTCGTTTCGCGAGGAATCATCTGTGCCGGCACGGAATCAGGAC